TCAGAAGTCATCTGGCTGAGCCTCTAGATCAGGGCCAGGAGTCGGGCAAGGGTGGCTTCCCCCAACACCTGCCGGTGGCAGCCTGGTGCCAGGCAGGGTAGGTCCACCCCACGGAACGCTAAACAAGTCAGCCAAGTGGCTCCGTGTGTTTTCCCAGGCTTGAGGGCCTCCCCGGTCCACTCTCTCTGCTCCTGTCGGAAAGCTAACTGCTCATAATAATAGCTGCATTGTTGAGAGCTTGCTCTGTCCCAGAATCCCTGCTGGTCACCCGTCGAAGCGACTCTAATCATTGAAACCATTCTGCAAGGAAAGTTTTATTATCCTCAAGCCACAAATGAAGAAACTGGGGCTCAGATGGGTTAAGTAACTTGCCTGAGGTCACACAGCGAGTAAGTGTGCTAATAGGCCTGTGCTGTCCCCATGGCTCTGTCCCCAGTAAAACTCCAGTCAAGGAGAGTGTGGTTACCCATGGATGTTAGGCAGGGGTGGGCAGGCTTGGCACTACCCTGACTGATATGGAAGTTTCTTTTTTTTTTTTTTAAGTTTTTTTAATCTTTATTTATTTTTGAGAGAGAGAGAGAGAGAGACAGAGTGCATGTAAGGGAGGAACAGAAAGAAGGAAACACAGAATCCGAAGCAGCTCCAGGCTAGGAGCTGTCAGCACAGAGCCCCATGCAGGGCCCAAACTCATGGACTGTTAGATCATGACCTGAGCCGAAATTGGCGCTTAACAACTGGTCACCCAGGTACCCCAAAATGGAAGTTTCTTTGCCTGTTACCTGTTTGTCTTCTCACCTGAGGCACTGAAGCAGCCTCTGTAGGGCTGGCTCACACACAATTCAGGTGGATAAGCAGATACCCTAAGGTTCTCAAAAGTTCTTTTTAATGAGTACAAGCCTTTCACAGCCCACCGCTGTGTGAACAACCGAGTCCCCAGGACTCCAGCTAAAATTGAGCCAAACCTAATCTGAGAGGCAAATCCCTATGAGGGGCAGGGTCTTCAGGGTCCCTAAATGCCCCCACAGCAGTAGAGGGTCAGCCCCCAGCCTGTCACCTGGCTGTGCCCTGCTTCATGGAGGTGTTGGAAAACCATGAGGACAGACACTGGATCTTTGGAGAGAATTCCATGATCTCATGGAGCAGTTCTTTCTCCAGACTGGGAAATTAAGAGCCAGTGACCCATGCTAGGAAAGACAATGAATAAGTGGTAGACATGGGCAGTGACCTAGTTTTTTGTTTCCTGGCTCCTGTAGAGGCTCCCACCAGTGCAAGCTGTGATTCGTACAGGAAGATGGAATTTGGTCCATGGAATGGGGCAGCTGGGGTCCTGTCCCTCCTCTGCCACTCACTCACTGTGTGACCTTGGACCAGACACCCCCCACTGAGCTCACTGACCAACAGGATTGTTGTGGAATGTTCCACCCTGTTATGGAACCTTACAAGCGAACCCACAGGATAAGCAAACACACCATCTGCATAGGCAGGGTGCATCATGAATGCTCTCCCTTCCCCCACCCAGCCCCTCCGGCCCCAGAGCACGTGAAACATGACTAAGAACTTTGAGAGGGGAAATCATCCATCAAGGTCACGCCGAACACCTGAGCTTTAAAATGGTCATTGATCATTTTCAGGCAGAGACCTTTGTCAGTTTTGCATTTGGTGTGAATAGACCCACAGGATTGATTTCCTGCCCTGATTTGTATGTACATAATAATGACACCTGCAAAAGACATCGAAACCCTTCCTGATGTTCCTGGCCAGGAAGTGACTCCCCCACCCCCTGCTGACTGCCTAGCTGGCAGGGCTTTGGGTACCTCGCTGTTAGGGGGTGCCATGAGAGCAAGACAGACATAGCTTCAGGAACCTTCTCCATTAGCCTGTGCGGTTTCCTGGGACCCCAACCACCATCTGTCCTACCCCGGATGGTCCCCTCTCCAAGGAATATTAAGACACCTAATTCCTGATTCTCCCTTCTGGGTGTGCTTCCTATAGCAGGTGGCTCCAGGGCCCATGGTCCAGGTCAGGATCTGATGAGAAAAGGGATGTTGATGTAGATCAGCCTGCAGATACCTCTTTTCTTCACAAAGGCAGTTTAGTACCACATTGTCACAGGAATCCGGTCCCAAGTACATAGTAATCCCATTTTCCCAGGAAGTAGATTCTATTTTTTTTCTAATTTTGCAACCACCTTACATATAAAAAGTCTTTAATGGTGTAGGTGGAATAATCAAATGTCTACATAAACTATATAATTTATCCAGGTAGTTACACATGCATATTTAAAGGTATGTTACAGGGGCACCTGGATGGCTCAGTCAATTGAGCATCTGTCCAACTTTAGCTCAGGTCAGGATCTCACAGTCCATGGGTTTGAGTTTCACTGTCAGGTTCTATGCTGACAGCTCAGAGCCTGAAAGCCTACTTCAGATTCTGTGTCTCCCTCTCTCTCTGCCCTCTCTCTGCCCCTCCCCTGCTCACACCCTGTCTCTCTCTGTCTCAAAAATAAACATTTAAAAAAAATTTTAAAACTTATTAGAAATGTTTGCTCATCTTGCAGAGCACTTGAAGAACAAGTTCCAATCTGGGGTTTTACCGTATTTGTATATGAATATTCAACTACTTCAGTGTAAGAAAAGAGAGCTCATTCCACTACACAGGACACTGAGCAAGTTCTCAGCTCTGGCTGCCCCTTCTAGATATATTGACTGGTTGGTCTGGGATGCCGAGGTTTTTAAAAGCTCACCAGGTAACCCCAGCCTGGTGGCCAGTTCACCCAAGATGACCTCCAGGCTTAAGTCCTGTTCAGCTGTCCCATGTTCAAGGTCTCCTGTGGTGGGACCTCCTCATGTGACTTCATTCCTCCACCTCAGCAGCCCTCAAACTTCCCTGTGCTCCAGTGCCAATCTCCCTCGCCATGAAGGTGGGGCCCAGAAATATGCCCACTAGCGGCCCATGCCTAGTTTATGCAGAAGATAGGATGTGAAGCAAGACACAAAGCTGGGGCCCTGGGGCTGGCCTTGCCTGTTGGGGAGAGTGCCTGCAGGAGGGGGCAGTCCGCATGTGGTTTTCCTACCTCCTTTGTTTGTTGTTGTTGTTGTTTTAATATTTTATTTATTTTTGAGAGAGAGAGAGACAGTATGAACAGGGGAAGATCAGAGAGAAAAGAAGACACAGAATGCGAAGACAGGCTCCAGGCTCTGAGCTGTCAGCACAGAGCCTGATGTGGGGCTCGAACCCACGAACCGTGAGATCATGACCCGAGCTGAAGTCGGACGCTTTACCGACCGAGCCACCCAAGCGCCCCTTCCCACCTCCTTTGTGATTTGCAAAGAGCCCTTCCCTTCAGAGCACCATTCCCTCTAAGCCTTTTTATCCTTCTAAAGTGAGGAGGAAAAGAAAACATCCCATGATCCCGCTTGTCGGGCTAAAAAGCAGAGGAATTCACCTGGGGCACAAAAGCTCTTTGGGGAGCAGACAGTGCCCTCGTGGTCCCAGGTGGCATCCACAGTCTCCCACTGAGCCTGCGGGTGGGGACTCCCCGCAGACCCCTGGAGGGAAAGTCCTCCCTCCAGCACAGACCAAAGTCAGGCCCGAAGGGGAAGAGACAGGGAGGCACACTATCCAGACGGCACCTGGCGTCGTCACACGTGGCATTTGAAGGACAGGACCCACTCCCCTCTCTCCACCCTGAGGTGCTGGTATTAACTCCAGCTGGGCTCTTGCACCTGAGGCCTTTGCTTTATTAAAGTTTCGCAGAGGGCTCTCAGAACCCCATAAATCACGGGTTGCGAGGGCGCTGGGGGACACCAGATGGAGAGGGAGCGCATGTGGACCTGGCTCTCCGGCTGGAAGGGACCAGCTTATTGGAGACACAGTTCCAGGTGCTCCTGGGAGAGCGTGCATGGGCCCAGCAGCTTGGAGAGGAGGAGCAGGGTGGAGGAGCAGAGCCGCAGGCAGGCTCCCCGCGGAGCACTTTAAAAGGGTGCAAAGAGGGACAGGACTCAGGAAAGTCCTACCGACTCTACTCACTGGGAACCTGAGATGTCTGCTGAGCTACACCAGGCTGGTTTTAGCAAACCCAGGTCTACGAGTGCTAGAAATGCCAGCAGCCTGGGATCTGGTGTCTGAGTTAAAACTGTCAGCCACGAATAGTAGCAGACTCTGTGATGCAAAAAAAGATTGCACTTCATTTTTTCCAACTTAATTCTGAGCGCTGATCCTCCAGGCTTGCGGGGAATTTGACCCTGCTCACCCCTGAGCTCCCCTCCATAGCCAGGGCCAAACACCCCAGAGCCCCACACAGCACAAAGCACTGGGGAGACCCGAGTGGTCATCAGGCCCAGGCCCTCCTGGGTCTCATCGGGCTATCCTGTCCACTATCTCACGAATTTCAAAAACCCAGCTCTCTGCTGGGAATGGGGATGGAGAGGGTGGGAAGTGAAATGCAGGCCTCATGTGTGAATATTTCAGCACCTGTCTTGCATCTTAGCTGAGGCTGCTGAGACAAAATACCATAGACTAGGGGACTTAAACCACAGACATTTATTTCTCATGGTCCTTGGAGACTGAGAAGTCTAAGGTCAAGGCGCTAACAGATTTGTTTCTTGGTGAGGACCCACGTCCTGGCTTGCAGATAGCTGCTTTCTCACTGTGTCCTCACATGGTGGAAAGAAAGGCTCTGGTCTCTCCTCTTTGTATAAGGACATGGTTCTCATCATGGAAGCTCCTGCCCTCGTCTAAACCGAACTACCTCCCAAAATCTACCTTCAAATACCTCCAAATACATTGAGAGTTAGGGATTTGGGGGGACGAAAAGCATTCAGCCCATAACATCTTGAAGCAGGCTCCTATCCGACACCTGGTATGCAGCGAAGCCCCTTGTCCCACATTATTTTAAGCCCTTGGGAAGGACACCCAGGGGCAGCTGCTTTGCAAAGCCATTGTCATGGCCCCTGGGTGCAGGTTAGGGCCCCCGCTCAGGCTGTCCCTGTCTCTGGCAGTGCTCCTCCACCTGTGGGAAGGGTCTACAGTCTCGCGTGGTACAGTGCATGCACAAGGTCACCGGCCGCCATGGCAACGAGTGCCCCGCCCTCTCGAAGCCAGCAGCCTACAGGCAGTGCCACCAGGAGGTCTGCAATGACAAGATCAACGTGAACACCATCACCTCCCCTCGCCTCGGTGAGTGGCCCCCAGTTTCTGGGGTGAGGGGGGGTGCTGCATCCCCAGCCAGTGAGTCCCCACAGGGGGGTGGGGCACAGGGGGAGGAGCTCTGTAAGCCAGAAAGCCCCCTTGGGGCCCTAGCTGGGCCCTAAAGTGGCCATTTGTCAGCTCTTGTAGGTTAGAGGTTTCAGAGGTGGAATTTCATTCCTCGTCATGGAAAAGACGTCTGCTAGCGGCAACCTCAAACACAACACCTCGAGCGTCCTGCTTAGTCCCTCCACCAACAATGAGGAACATGGGAGGGTGGCCCTCAGTTAATGTTTTCAGACTCCTGTGCATGAGGAGGGCAAAGGGGGGGGGTGTTTTTCCAGAAGTGAAGGAGCTGGGGGTCATTCATGAAGCTTCCGTGATGTACCCGTCAGATGCTCTTCAAGTTAATGTTTGAGAAGAAGACAGAGGCGTTATAGGTTGGAGTCTTTAATTCAGTGGCACAGGAAGGAGAAGAGGAACTCTGAACACTAATCTGGTGATTCCTTTCAACGGCGTCCACTTTTCCAAATAGAAATCCCTAAGGAATATTTTCTGACCCAGAGCCCCCTTCCCTGATGCTGGAACACAGCCAGAATGAAGAGGGTTTCTAAGTTGCTTCATGGAGAGGGGAGTCTTTGAACTTGCAGAGGGGCACTCCGGGCTTTCACACGCACAAACCTTGGTATGCTCCAGAGACCTCTGTCAGCCAGGACCTTCTCTCTGCAAGATGACCCTGAAGGACATTTGGGCTACTTGCTTAGGCTATGAGCTTATGCTCTGGCAGGCCTTTTGATGTCCACTGCCCTGTGTCCCTTTCTGTTTTATGAATGCCCGCAACGATGGTGTCCTTCACCAGAAAATAACAGCAAGTGCCACTTAGCTGAGAACCAGGGTGCACAGTGCCCTTGCCTTGAGGAAGCAGCCAGACTGCCATTGTCTGCCAAATGGTCGGGCTAGACACAGGAGTGTGTCCCCTGTAGGAAAAAAGCATCACATGACTCTGGCAGGGGGTGTATTTCCTCCATTTATGCAAGGCTCCAGTGTGCATGTGGGTGAGGGCAGCTCCAGAGTGTGTCAGACCACCCCTGTGCAGGCATCTTGATGTCCCTGGGCCATCCGTAATCCCTGGGCTTTCTGTTTCCACCATCCCCGTAGCTGCTCTGACCTACAAATGTACGCGGGACCAGTGGACAGTGTATTGCCGGGTCATCCGAGAAAAGAACCTCTGTCAGGACATGCGGTGGTACCAACGCTGCTGCCAGACGTGCAGGGACTTCTATGCGAACAAGATGCGTCAGCCACCGCCACCACCACCAAGCTCATGACACGTGGCCCCAGGGTCCCTCAACGCTCCAGCGCGTGGTCCAAATCCTGATGACATGGCTAGTTGAAAGCCTACCCACCCGAGGGCGCACCAGTCCTGCGACTGGGACCCCCTCCCCCCAGTGCACACTGCCACTCCCCCACCAGGCTGTCCCGAGAATCCAATCGCATAGAACTTGAGCGTGGACTTGACGTTTGCTGTTAGTGCTTTTGTACTTAATATATTGTTAATGGCCACTGGATGGCTTTCTCTGGTAAGGAAAAAAATAGGTATGAGTCACAAAATTATTGTAATTTGTAAGGTTCTGTGTACCTCAAAGGGAACACCTCTGATAGACAATTGTCAAAAGAAAGAGACATCATTGAGCGCTTCTGTCCAGCTTTCTTTTGACGTTTGAATTCCGGGTGCTTGATATGCCACGGGGGGTGCTATCTCCCTAATGAGACATTCCACATTAAAACAGGCTTTATTCTGAAAGCCGGTGACACCCCGGAAGGAAGGACAGATGTCAGCGAGCCTCTGCTAATGCCTTCCCCTGAGAGGGCCAGGCCGCCAGAGAGCCCTTTTGACAACCCAAGAGTCACCACTTGGCCTCTCGGCTCATCTCTGAAAACGCATTCTCTAGATCCTGGGCCTTGTCTTCGAAGTCTTGTCCCTGACAGGCTGAATCTGTATCTGCCAAAGACAGCAGGGCTACATAGTTTTTCATAAAAGCCTGTGTTGGGGAGAATATTCTGGAAGTGTTTGGGTTTGGGGAGGCATCTAATTTGTATACTCTGCTGTCCACCATGTAGTGAAATGGAAAAGCCTTTCTTCAAGGTGCTATGAAATGGGACATATGTTCGTTTGGGCGATGGGACTGTTTCCTGGCATAAAGGTGAGCTCAGGACAGCTTTGTCAGGGGTGTACGGCCCCTCCGCCTTCTGGGGGTCTCCACTCTTGTCAGTACTTCGTAAAGCTTTGCACCTTAGAGATGGCTTCCCATTGACCTTGGCCATCTATCTGAAGTTTATTCTTTTTAGAAGCCCTGGCTACTTCGCCCTGGCGTGGGCCTGATTTCCTCCAGAAGCCTTTCAGCCAGGGGGACCGAGATCACTGCACAAGCACCAAGCCTTCCCATAGCCCAGATGGGATCCATTATTGTCATATTGTTGGTGTTGTCCTGTCCTCTTAGTAAGGCAAGCATGACCCTCAGAAAAGCCTGAAGAAGGTCTTTCCCTTCTGCAACCCCTCAAAATAGAGCTGTGCCCTCTCTAGAAGTCTGGGGAAATGACAAGGACACAGAAGGCGGTAGGACCCTGTGTGCTTTGGGAGCTGGGAGAGAAAGACCCTAGATGCCAGGAGACCTGTTTTTGCTCACCAGCTTGGTGGGTGTTTGATGGGTGCTTATGTTTAAGGACTTTACCATGATAAACCCACCTTCTCCCTTATTGCAGACAGGGGAATCTCACTGATGCCAGTGTCCCAGGGATCATCTCCAAGTTCTTCCTGATTTATTGGTGCTGTGTTTATGTATCTGCTTTGGTTTTTGATGATGTCACAACTTTAGGGTTCGTTAGCTTAAGTCAGAAAGAAAACAAAAAGAAAATCTCTCTGCCTTCTCCATCCCGTCTTACAGGCTGTTTCAATCGGTGATTTCTAATATTCCAGAGATAGAGACATGGTAGGGATGACAAGAAATGTGTGTGGTTCCTCTTGAAACAACAAGAAGCACTGAGAAGCCTGCTTGGGTGCTCTGATGGAGAGAGTGCCAGGCTGGAGCGACCCACCCTGCAGTGTAACCAGCCCTAGTGGTTCAGCACAGCCTGTGTAAAATGCTGTCCTCCCCCAGCTCGGGCTTGGCCACTGAGAGACTTCCTCAGACCCTGTTTCCACAAAACTCTCAAATTCCTGGGGAGCTAGGGTTCTATTTTCCCCCAGCCCCAAAACGGGCTGTGCTTCGTCATGTAGTGTCAGAAAGATAGCAGCCTCAGGGGCTGAGAAGCAGAGCCAGGGCCGCCAGCTAAGGAACCCATGGGCCCGCCCAAGCTGGGCATGTACGTGCCGCTAGGCTAGCACTTTCCCCAGTGCCTCTGAATATTCCCCCACTCCACCCCACCCCCACTGACTACCTTGACTGTATCAACTGGATGCATCTGGCAAGGGCCCCACCCTCTCAAAATGCAAATAATTGATTTGGTTATTATTGAACACCCCACTGATTCCCCCAGAGTCCACGTCTCTCTGACCTCTTTAGCTCATGCTGGCACTGCTGCTCTGAAATTCACCAGCCCGCCTTCCATTCATGGCACAAGCAAAGATTGATTTTGGCAACGCCATCATGGCATTCTTGTTCCACTTTGTACAGATGATACTGAAACCCTGTGATCACAACAATGATGTTTCTTTATTAACAATACCCTGTACTGTCATTCAAGTACTGTACCTTTTTGATTGCACAAATGTGTTACTAACTACAGAGTCTTACAACCTTATGGTGCTACTTTTGTGGGTGCAAACGAAACCCCCTCACTTGACCATGGCTTGACATTATCAGAACACAGGGAAAGACCCTTAGCAGCAATAATCTCATTGCTTTGTTCTCGTTTCTCCATTTCAGAGTCAAATGTATATATTTTCCATTAGTTAACTTACATTACGTACTGTACCCGTGGTATTTTTGTTTTACTTTTTGGTGCTGGTTTTGAAAGAAGAAAAAAGAACAGAAGACAAACATTGGACACCACTGTAAATGAAGAATTAATCATTTCATTGGAAGTGAGTTGAACATGTTAATAAAATGTTTTTCCATAACAATCTTAAGCTGTCTGTGGAGTACAAGACAAAGACCAGTCCTCCGGGGCTGACAGAGGGAGGCCTGTCCTTCTGCGAGTGGTCACATAGCTTGCCTGGAACAGCGTCCCGACCACAGCTGTGGACAGGGTCAGAGGTCGCTGGTAAATGCAATTCTGGCGGGTGGCTGCATCTCCCTGAGCGAGCGCTAACAAATCATTCCGTCCTAGGCCTCACCCCTGTGTGGTTGCAAAACCGCGGGTGGGGACTCGAGGGTCTGGCAGCTGTGCTGTCAGTCTGTGTCTGATGCAGACCAGCAGCCACTTCGCCAGCGGAGACGCCCGTGCTCCGTGGAGGTGCAGTGACCCCTGCTGCAGGGAGCCCCGCGGACAGAGCTCCAGCCCTGGTCGTGTCTGAATGGGCTTCTGTCTCTGTGACCTTGCTTTTCTACCTTTAGCACCCCATCCATCCCCAACCCTACTGACTGTCCATACAACCCCCCTCTTCGTGCAGGTAGCAGGACCGGTCCTGGCCCCGCCATTGTCCCAGGCTGAGGACACGGCAAGGGTACTACACTTTCATCACTGAGACTGCTGCAGTTATCGGGACCCTGTCCGGGCCCGACCAGGAGCAGGAAGTCACCTCTCCTTCTCACGGGGGTGGGGTTCATCTCCTCCTGGCATCAAGGAGAAAGAGCTTCCCAGCCAAGAACTTGGAACTCCATTTGACAGACAGCACCTCCTTTTAACGTTGGAGCAGCCCCCAGAAATCTCATGAAATAAAGACCATTTGTTTAACAGATGACAAACTGCCCACGGCCGCTCAGCTGCCAGGAAAGCTCTGGCTTGTCTTCTCATTAATGATCAGCTATCCCCCTCAGGCACCTGTTAGTATTTTCTCTTCCTTTCTCTGAGAGTTCTGATCTCTCTCGAACTTCTAACAGCCCTGATGGTATGTAATATCTCCATAAGCTGCTTAAACTCCGTGATTTTAATTTCTTGGCTGAAATTGACAAGCACTCAATCTGCAGGTGTGGAGTGGGTTTCTAGTAGGAACCAAGCACTCCCTGGAACTGATGAGAACACAAAAGAACAGAAGACCAGCTCAGGAGCCCACGGCCCCATTGAGTCGACAAGCCTGGAGTCTGGAACAACAGAGAATGAGCTAGACTGCAGGGACTCCAAGGAGGGAAAGGTCAGGACCTCCTCTGCGGGTTCGTTGATTGACCTCTGGACAAAGGCTAGAAGGGTTAGGGTTGGAATTTCCATGTACTTCCCAGACCACTGGCACTTGCCCCCTGTGCTGCACTAACACTATTCTCGGGTCACCTGACCTTCGGGAATCCATTGCACCGACATTTTCACACGTTGTCCCCAGCAGCCCTCTCCTTTGGGTCATCCTCTTCTCCCTGTCTCTGGACCTGCTGCATCCTGACTTTTCTCCTCCCCCAACTCCTTCGTAGCTCTCCTTTTACAGCCAGCTGTATGTGATGGAGTGCCCCAGGGCTCAGCCCTAACCCTCATCTCTCTATGTACTTTCTCCCTAACCCATGTCACCCAGACCCGAGACTTTGAAAACCATGCATGTGCTGGTATCACCCAAATGAACAGTTTTGGCCCTGACCTCTCTCTTGACCTCCATATTCATACACAGCCTCTCCACATGCACAGGCAAGCCCATAGGAAGCTCTGGTACTTGGATGGCCCTTCAGAGGTGTTCCAAATCTGAGATTCGGTGGCGATAGCTTACCCCTGGCTCCATGTGGCTTTTCCTGGGGTAGTTCAAAGGAGGAGAGGCTGGGGTTATCAGAAGGCTCCCATGCTTGCATATCTGACACCCAATGCTGGTTCTAGGGACCTCACCCAGGACTGTCAGCCAGAACACCTACAAGTGACCTCTCCAAGGGCTGCTTGGCAACCCTGAGGCACGATGGCAGGGTTCAGTGGCAAACACTCTGAGAGCGAGCATGACTCTCATGACCCCATGTAACTACTCAAAATTTACACAGCATCACATCCACCATCCTCTAATAGTTGAGGAAATCACAAACACTCACCTAAGTTCAAGGGGAAGGGACAAGGAGTCTGTGTCTTGCTGGGGGGAATGGCAAGGCTCTGGAAGAGCAACGGAGATGAGAAATTGTGCAGCCATTTGGGGGAAGAGTCATATACCCCCATATGAAGAGTATGCTCACCCTTCCCCCAGTGTCCCATCCCATTTCAACATCATGTTCAGGCTCAAGGCCCTGGATTTCATCATCTAAGACAGGTGCAGGTATAGGTAGGAGCTTCTTGAGCACTATTTCTCTCAATTTAAAGACCAAGAAACTCAGAAGAGACATTATCTCCTCCCAAACTCCAACACCCAAGAGAAAAGAGTGGGATGGGCATGGGAGAACAGATGTAGATACTCTCTACTTAAAAAGGAGGGGAAGGGGAGACACATAGAAGCCACTGTCCATAGCAGTTCTAATGTCCAGCATGGCACCTATGGCTGGCTCTTAGACTCAGCACTACCGCCTGGGAGTGATTCTCCCAGATTTGCCTCTAGAAGCCAAAGATGCTTGCCATTTCTTGCAATCCATTCCTCATGGCAGGGGAAGCAAAATGCAATCAAGGGCCCATCAACATGCTCCAGACCTCTGGATTCCTAAAAACGTCACTTAGCCGATGTGTCAGTGGATATTCACAGTGCCAATCTCCTACCTGCTAGAACACAGGTTTCTTACTAAGGCCTCCAACTTACATGCCTCTGTTCTGATTAATGTCATATCATGGATATAGTGCATCACTGTGGATTCTATGGAAGGTGTATATAGTCCAGGCCCTCTGGGGCTATGTTATGAGAGCATTAACGTAGCCCTGGAGAAGACTCTACATGATGGCTACTGTTCTCTGTCACACATGAACGTGACTTACTCTGGTCTTCCTTTCTGATAGATCCAGAAAAAGAGGCATTTCCTAGCTTATTGGTCATACACCTTGTATCTTGAAACTTGTTAGTCTGCTCTAGAAAGATACCACATCTGGCACAGCACACTCATTGGTGGTTAATTCTTGGTTAAGACTGTTATGTAACAGGACCAAATCTAAATTTCGTAGGGGCCAGACTTTTGACTTCTATGGGGACACAGTGGAATAACCTCCCCCTGCATTCTTTAGGTCTTTAAGCATGATGCTAAAATGTGCCATTTTCACTGGGTTGTAATATTGCTATTGACTCACTTTCTTGCCTGGAGGGAGGGAGACAGGATCATAGCCTTCCACTTGGCCTTCCCCGCTGTAATGGTGTCTTATTCCACGGGTCAAGGACTAAGTTCATCCACCCCAAATGCCCATTCAGGGACAGGGGAAGTGATCACTGGGTGGCCTTAAGGAACCACTGGGCCCACTATGAATCAAACCTGGACCAGTACTCCATTCATTATCTGAACCCCATCTCCCTTCACTCTAAAACAGGACCATGATAACACTCTGGGACCCCAGCAGCTAAGTCAACTTAGATCTTTTGTGCAGCATGTAATTGGTTAATGATTAATCATCCTCAGCACTCGTATTGCTTTTCTCCAATGCACCAGGAACAGTCAGATATAACCACTGAATTTCTTTATCTTATCATTTCTATTTCCCTGTGTCTTTCAAATGACTGGGGCATTATGCCACTCACACCAATGTCAAGGGCATGAGGTCCCTTGGTCTAACTGGCAGGAGATGCAGCTCCAAAATCCTATTTTAGGGTCTGCTTCCTAGAATCGCTCCTGGCACCAACTGCCTTAGTTTGCATGTTTGGGAACCCATCTCTGAGGTGGTGATCTGTGGAGGGAGGTTCACGGGGAGGCGCCCTCAGGAACACAATGAAGATGCGAGAGCATCAGCGTTCGGCACAGGGAGATAGGGAAGCCTGACAGTCACAAGAGGACCTCAGCTGGTGCCTTAGGGAGTTTTGAAGCTGGAATGGCCCTTCAAAGTTGTCCTGCATGAAGGCAACAAGGTGGGCCTGTGTATATCACTGGCTGCCAGCTGCCCTAGGGAAGGTATAGTCTTAAAAGTTAGTTCTCTTGTGGGGCAACTGGGTGGCTTAGTCAGTTAGGCATCTGACTCTTGATTTCGGCTCAGGTCATGATCTCAGGATTCTGAGATTGAGCCCCCCATTGGGCTCCATGCTGAGTGTGGAGCCTGCTTAAGATTCTCTCTCTCTCTCTCTCTCTCTCTCTCTCTGCCCCTCTTGAATTCTCTCTCAAAATCTCAAAACTCAATTTTAAAAAGTTCTCTCCCTTCTGCCAAGGGCAAGGCCTGGGGACGGGCTCTGCTGTGAGTCAGCCAGTACTGCGGGCAGCAGGGAAAATGAGGGCAGGGGTGCTGGAGGGAGATCTGTGTAGCACACCATAGCTCCCACTGCATGCCTCAAGCTTAGATCTTACTGAAAAAATTCCCAACTTCTTCCCTCTTATAAATCCCTTCCAGAGGATTCTTCGTCTCAGTCAATGGTACCACCATCCACTAATGAAGTGGTTGTGGGGTGGGCTAAATGGACAATGGGCATTAAAGAGGACACTTGTTGGGATGAGCACTGGGTGTTATATGTTAAGTGATGAATCACTAAATTCTACTCCTAAAACCCATACTGCACTGTATGTTAAGTAACTTGTGTTTAGATAGACGGATGGACAGATAGATACATACATAAATGCAAAGATATACAGATGATAGATGATAGATAAGAAAAATAAAAAGAAAAGGCAAAAGAGAAAAAAAAAACTTCAAAGTCATCCTTGTTTCCTCAGTTTCTCTTTCTAACCCCAGTCCAGTGCAGCCATAAATGCCATTGGTTCTGCTTCCAAATTATGCCTCTAATCTGTCTGCCTCTGCCTCTAACTCTGCATCACTGTGCACCAAGTCACAGACCCCCACCGGGACCCTGCAAAAGCCTCCTGACCACCTCCCTCCCTCCTTTTTGGCTCCTTCCAGTACATTCTCCACACCCTGCCTCCCAAGCATCAATCCTGGCACCCTGCTCACTTAAAATCCTTCAATAGCTTCTCGCCCCTGGAGTTCTCTCACCTCAGGGCCCTCCTTTCCGTCTCATGATCCTCCACCCTCTTCCCTCCCCGCTTTGCGCCTTTGCAGGTCCTATTGCTTGGTTGCCCTGGCCAGCCCAGACCTTCCCATGGCTGATTATCTACATCCTTCATGCCTCTGCTGAAATGTTATTTATTCCTCAGACTCTCCTTGAACACCATCTGAAGTGGCTTCCCAGTCACGGCAGCCATCTTTACTCCTTCATCAGTGCTTGCCATACCTATCATGACTCCCTTAACCTGTTTCACTAGCATATAGTCTATCTTCCCACCTAGAAAGTTAAGTGCCACCAGGGCAAAAAACCCATGCCTCTTGTGTATCACCAGATCCCTAATGCCCAGCACTTGCATACACTAAGTGAACATGCTCCCCCTTGCTTGTTACAATGTATATTATTTAGATTGTTTTCAGGAAAGTTCAGATTGTACCAGAAGGGGTTTGTACTGGATAACAGAAGTGCACTCTAAATTCAATGACTTTCTTTTGTGCATATACCTCAAGTGATACAAATATTTGGACAACTAGCTGTAAGTCAATGAAAACAAGATGTTTGCAGTTTTTCAAATTCTCCCCCTTGTCAGCCACCCCTTGCCAATAGAGACAGGTGTGTCCAGATGGCTGCCATGGTGATCTCAAAGCTGTTTTCTCTCCTTTTCATTTTATCTTTGGAACAGGAGAGTGACGGATTCAGGAGGCAGAGTCTGAGGTTTGGTGAGGATCTTTGTAAAGCTTGACGTGGCGCCACCATCTGGTGTTTCTGGAATAAAAGTTTAACCATGAGGTGCATGGAGTTGTCAGGACAGGCACCCATGCCTGGCTGGGATCTAGTGCAACATGGGTGCTCATTCTGGGGTTTCCTTGATGATGGACACTTGTTACTCCCCCATGGACTATGACATTGTCATCCCCTTGGTTTTGAAACCCTTCTCAGAAAAACAGCCCCTTTTTGAGCCTAAGCAGCTTCAGCATTTCGGGGGATAACTTTCAAAAATGACCAAGAAATTAGGTTTCCTTCCTAGAATGTCTTTTTCTTTTTAATGTTTATTTATTTTTGAGAGAGGGAGAGCACGAGCAGGGGAGGAGCAGAGAGAGGCGGACAGAGGATCTAAAGCAGGCTCCATGCTGACAGCAGAGAGCCCAACATGAGGCTTGAACCCATGAACTGTGAGATCATGACCTGAACCAAAGTCCGACGTTAACAGACTGAGCCACCCAGGTGCCCTTCCTCCTGGGATTTCTTAGGAGAATTCTACAGTTTCCCTTGGAAAAGACTAGATACTTCGGTCTGGGACTCAACCCTTTGATAGTAAAAATGTAAATGGCCCAGTAAATCAAAGGGTCCCTTGGCAGACAGACCCTAGTCAACCCGAAACAAAACTCCTTTCTATCAGAGTGATGAGGATGTGGATCAGCCCACTACCAGGGCTGCCGGCAGACCCACCCAGTGACTAACACTTCCATACAATCCAACACATAGAAATTACGACATGCAGGTTGGCCTAAATGAAGCTCAGGGAAAGGAGTGCCCCTGCAATCTCCAACAGGCCCCTCCCTGCTCCTTCCAAAGTCTCTCTCCATTCAGAATGCTCTCTTCTCCATGCTTTCCATCTCTTTAGCTTATGTTCTCCTTCATCTGTTTTATTTATTCCCTCTCTCCCTTCCTATCCTCATCCTTCCTCTTTTCCTTTTCACTTTCTACATTTTCCCATTCCTGAGTTTTCAGATGATTGTCCACTTCTGACTCTGGCCCCACTGTTGATGTAGAAATGTTCACTGAAGGCCCACTAGGGACAGCGAGTGAGTTCCTCTAGGGACTGAGTTTCCACTGAGCCTTTAGATTACCACGTACCCTTTACAAACGCACTCTCAAACCACTCACCCAGGATCCTTGCAAAGGAACTGTTCTTTAGAAGTTTTAGGTCTCTGGGTGCTCATTTTGAGTTTAATTCTGTGTGTGCCAATCACACGTGTAACAATCCTTCAGCTAATGATACACATCAGCAATCGGCTTTCTGGCCACGAAGGTTGTTTTAATATGGCAGTGGATGGTTATAAAATAGCAATTCTGGAAGTTCCATCCAAGGATTGCTACATATTAACACATTATTAAAACAGTATATTGCAAGGTCAACATACTATTATAATTGTTGACCTATCAAATATGGAAAAGTTTTGAAACTTCAGTGGGAGCCAGATGCCATTTTATTAAATTGGAATACAGTACAGGGAAGAGAGAGTGTAGCAAATGCTCAACAAGATTGGTTTGACGTGTTTGTGATTTTTGCCAATGTTGTTTTTTAATAAAATAATTATATAATATATTAACATATACTATATTGTAATATATTTCATTTGTATTCTGTACACACCTAGTAGACGTACATGCATATAGACAATGCCTCCATGTGAAGTGTGACCATGCAGTTGTCTGTTTTGGCTTATGAAATGGCCCAAGAGCAATTTTCAGCAGGATCTCTATGTCCTCTGGAGCAATGGCCACATCACTCCATTAGGACAGAGGCTTCTAAGGCAGAAGCAACACTTATTTCAATGTATAGATCATGAAATATGAAATTTACTTATATCATGATTTCTATGCTCAATGACCATTTTACAATGTAAGCCAATAAACCTTTATGGAGCAGTGTGGTAGCTGCGGGGTGGAGGAAAGGATACACAGTCGCCTGTCCTTGAAGAATCATAACAATATGTTGTTGTACCCTTCTCTTGGCAAATAGTGGCTCTGCCCAAATGTGGAAAGATATTTAAGTCAGTTCAAAATTAATAGGACTGTTGGCTCAGCATTTAGGATAAACAAACCTCTGCCCAAGAAGAAATCCGATCTGCTGTCTTTCAGCTGGCTGTAATTCAATGAAGCCAAGTTCTCAAAGTTTGAGTGCCTACCTTGTAAGTCTCATCAAATGAATTCTGCACGTCCAGCATTGCACTGATGACAAATGTCATTTCATAATGACATTACCTGTGCTTTCCAAGCTGTTGACGGGTCAAACCACACTGGATAATCCTGTGTGGTTTTCTCTGTCTAGATCACACCTCTGGGCCATGGCAGATGGACATATCTCTCTGCCGTGTTGCAGAGCTGGACCCTACATGGATATTTTAGGTTGCCCAAAGAGATAAATCAAGGAGTAACATACATTTTTAAAGGAACTGGAAGTCATGAAAGAAAATCAAGAGAATAAGGAAAAGAGCCAACAAGAAAACTCATAATTGGCAAGCAAAATGAAAAATGAAAAACACTAGATAACCTCTAGAGAAGGAATCAGAGTATTCATGTTTGGAAGGTAGGATTGAAGAATTTTGCCTAAAGACTGTATTGAGAAATGAAGTTTTTCTGGTTTGTTTGGTTTGTTTTTTTAATGAAAGCATTGTTAAGAAAGAGTGGTAATAGTTGGAGAGGTATCAACTTTTGTCTGATAGGAGTTCCCAAGATGAGAATGGAAGAAATGGCAGAGGAACCATCTTTGAAGAGGTACTCAGAATAGCCAAGAATTGAAGAAAGACATGAGTCTTTATATCAAAAGGCACTGCAAAGAGTGAACAGAATAAATAGAAATAGATCAGTACCTCATACATAGTAGTCAAAATGCAGAAATCATGGAGGAAGACCAAATCTTGGAAGCGGTCAAAGAGAAAAGCCAGGTAACCCCTGCGGAATAACAGCCAACTGACGGCAGATGTGAGAAGGAAACGGAGTAATGTCCTCAAGGGCTGAGAGCCCCGATACCTGCTTCTGCTTAGCTCACCTAAAACATGAAACATACAGTGGGGGAAGCTCATCTTTGTCCTTCTCCAGAGTTTCCTACAATGGGCAGAGGTCAATTCTCACATTCATGGCCCCTCTCCAAGCCTACTCATCACAATGAGTGGCCCTATCATCCATCCCTTCTTGCAAAAGCCAGAAACCTGAGAACCAGTCCACAGACAGACTATCCCTAAGTCATGTCATTTTCTGTCTTTCAAATTCCATTCAATCTGTCCATCTTCCCCACCCCAGTGGACCCTGTTCTGGTTCAAGTGCATTCCAGTTGCCTCCCAGCTAGCCTTGCCACCTCTGGCCACCATACTAATACCAAAGTGACCTTTTGAGGTCTAATAGAAGCCCCCTTTATTCAATCTGGCTCACTCTCAAGGCAACATGCTGCCCCTCCAGCCCTGTCCTCCACCCCCCTCCATTCTCCTCCTGCCCATGCTTGCCTGTGGACAGCAAAGTCTCTAACCCAGGAGTCTGCAAACTTTGGCCCCTCAGCCGATTCCTTCCCACCACCTATTGTTATAAATAAAGTTTTACTGGAACAAGCACACCCATATGTTTATGTATTATCTATGGCAGCTCGTGCACTACATAGATAGAGCTGAGTAGTTGAGCAGATCTCCTCTAGCTAACTCCTAGACACTTGCTCATCTGCATATCCCAGGATAGATTGTCAAAGAGTGTGCTTTCAACATGCAAACCAACCAATCCCCAACCACCACACCATACCCTCAACCACTTTCTTTGTGAGGCTCTCACTTTTATACTCCAGGACACTCTCCCCCTGCCTTAATCACCAAAGGACCAAGTGTCAAACAATCAGGGACAATCCCTATGCTCTGAAACCCACTGGTATCATTCAAACTAGGCAATCCTAATTCTGCTTATCCTGTCTTGCTCATTTCCTCCCATAGAAACCACCCTCCTTTTGGGAACTGTGAATAACAAACTCTCTTTTTGTCTCTTGGTCTGCTGGTCTTGCTCTACTTTAAATATTCCATTAATACACTGTATCAGGAGGATTCAGGCAGGACCCACAGATGGATACTCTGGGGCCTGTTTCCCTGGCTGGGTGGGTTCCCTGGAAGGGGAGCAGGTGGGTCAATAGGTTGTATTTAAGCACATTGTCAACAGCCATTTGTCACTCTGCCATGTTCATCCCGCCCACTCTCAGCTGACCCATAGCCTGTTCCTTCTTAAGTTGGGAAATGAGCCTGACTCTTCCTGGCTCTCTTTGAAAAGAGAAAACACTAATAAATCAAACAGCAAAATATTTACCCTTATCTCATTATTTTGCAGGCTTCCTGGGGTCTTTTGAACCTTTGGTCTACCCTCCCTGGACCCCAGCCTTCTGCAAGCCTACAATGGACATTACCTTCTCAGAACTAAAACTCATGCCCTAGAGGCCTGAAGGAATGCTAGGGGCAGGTTCTAGGTCCTGAGGCAGATCTATGGGTGAAGCACCCCAAGATGAGATCCTATTTGGCTTTGAGTAATTCGGAGTAACCCAGGGCCATCTCTCCAGGACACAGAGCGGGTGTGGCCGTGTTCAGCACCAGGAAGGCTGAAGCCAGGGAGATGGTCTTGTCTTTGCCTCTCACAGTGACAAGAACACAGAGTGACTTGCTCTGCTTCGTGGAGTCCGGGATAACCTCCCAGAGAGGGTGCTTGAAGGCACAGTTAGGATTTGTCAGGCAGAGGAGAGAAAAGGGCATTCCTGGTAGAAGGGATGGAGGGCACAATAGAACAGAGATGGATGCAAAGTTGCTGGGACACAGGGGGCATGCAGCGCTGTGGAAGTGACAAGAGTGGAAGCTGGAGGTAAAAACCACTATGTTTCCAGTTTTACACCCCCTGGATCAGGTGCAGATGAAGGGCTCTATAAAGATTCTGGATGAATGAATGAGAACAAGAGGTAGGATGCCTGACAAACAGCATTTTTGCCTTCTGCTTGGATCAGGCCAGCTGGACTCCAGGCAGAA